CTGCATCTGCACTGCCCCAGAGGACCTCGTGAGTGGTGGCTGAGCCCTGGAAACCTCTGCTCTCATCAGTCCCTACGGCCCTGGCTGTAGCTCCAGGGTTCAGGGCACCACCTTGCCCACTGGCCACCTGCATGAGGGACCTTCCTCAATAATCAACAGCATCCTAAACACCACTGGCACCATTTACAAGGGCCTGGTTCTGCAGGACATTCTGCCACTACCCTCTACACAGCCTGTCATTCACTTCAAACAGTCCCTCCCGTCCTGCACCACACCTTCCCAGCAAGGAGCACTGAATTCTACCCATGCTCTCCAGAGCAAGTGCTGTCGTGGGTTGATTCAGCAAAGTAACTTCAATGTCTAAGAAGACAAGCTCCTTTAGGAATAAAACCAAAACAAAAGCCAAACATGATAGTACACACCTGTAATCCCAACACTGGGGAGGCAGGAGGATCATTGGTGGTTTGATGGGGGGAAAAAACTGTCAAAAAAATACAAAACGATGAAAATACCAGAATTAAAAAATAAAATTTAAAAAATTAATAAAACCAAAAACATTCATAACAGGGCAAATTTATACATCTCATGTGCTGTGGTTTGGATATTTGCTTACTTCTTCTAAAAGAAAGAAAGGAAGGAAGAAAGAGAAAGAGAAAGGAAAGGAAAGGAAGGGAGGGAGGGAGGGAGAGATAAAAGAGAATGAAAAAAGAGAAAAAAGAAAACTCGTGTTGAGGCGTGGTCCTGATGCAGAGATGGAAGGTGGGCCTTTAGGAGGTAGCCTAGCTCGCAGGGGAGGTCCAGCCCTACGAGCACTTCGTGTCATTCTGGTAAGAGTGGGTTAGGTCTGGATTGGCCTGAGCTAATGGCCAACAGAGTATGCTGGTATCACAGAGCTCTGCCTCCCTGTCTCTCCTACCACATGACCCACCGTGTGACCATTCTTTCACAGATACCTGCCATCCTGCCACCCTGAGTCCTCACTGGGAGCTGAGCAGAGCTCCAGTATCATGCCCCTTGCCGCCAGAGCTATGAAAGAAATGAACCTCCTTTCTTCCTAGTTTCCCCAACTCCAGATATTTTGTTGCAGCCACAAAAAAAAAAAAAAATGGTCTAAGACACCTTTTCCAAATACTGGAGGACTGAAGTAGAGCTTGTGGCACTGGAGGCTTGAGATAAAACAATGGTGTTGATTGGAATGACAGATACATAGAGCTCTTCCTCAAAGCTGAGACCCAAACCTAGACAGTGTACCCAGAGGAGCACCTGAGCCCAGACCTCAGAGACCCAACAACAGAGGGTGTGACTGGAGCGGGGGCCAGTGCAGGAAGCAGGCTCACCTGGCAGCCAGGGCCTACGTGTACGTGCCCAGGCCCTAGAAGTACCCAAGAATGTCTCTCCCTTTCCTTGCTGAGGACCGAAGATGGCCTGTTTTAGCTGAGTCCTACAGTGAAGCAACCAACATGTGCTGGGAAACTGGCATTACTGAAACGCTGTTGAGTTCTTTTTTCCATTTTCTGTTGCTAATAGTCTGTGTGCAATATCACAGACTGGGGAAGTTATAAGGAAAAGAGATTAATTTGGTCTCATTGTTCTGGTCCAAGCCTGAAGGCCCACATCTGATGCTGGTCCTCTTGTTTGCCCAGCACCTCACATGGCAAGAGACAGGCAATGAGAGAGAGTCTTAGCTGAACCAGCTTCTGTCACAGACCCCTGTGGAAATAACCCATACCCTCGTTAATCATGTGAGTGATTAACTCATTCCCAAGGTCAAGATCCTTACTGCATCTTAAAGGTCCCACTGGTTCCTCATAATATCTCAAAAGGGGGATTCAAGTTCACCATGAACTTCAGAGAGAACAAACACTCCTCGAACCATAGCAGAGTCACAGGGTAAAAAACTGCACTATTCCATAAGCAGTGCCAGAAAAGCTGATCATGCTTCAGGGTGGGGACCCACGCCCCTCTACCAACCAATCCCTGCTTCATACCGTCCACCCACTTAGACTCCAGCTGGTGTCATCTCAGCGTGAAAAGCAGAAGAAAATAACATGGTCAGAAGAAAATATAGAAGAACATAGGAAAGCATTTCTAATGAAATGTGAAACAATACAAATCCTTAACAACAGCATAAAAATCACACATTGAACAATATTTGTTTTTCAATCTGCACATTAAAAATAATCATTAGCACAGTCGCCTCTAATAAAGCTGAGTTAGGGGTACAGCCCACTTCCCGGCAATTTTCTTTCTGGGGCCTACCCTAGAGAAACACTCCATGTATGTGCACATGGAATCCAGGTAAGGGTGCTCCTTGCCTTCAGTTTGGGGAGGAAAAGAGCAGAATCATTTCCTTGTAGAATCAACTCAGCAAGGAGAGTTAGCTGACCTGCCTTCTAGGGCAGAGGTGCAATGAACAGAGCTGAACACTGCTACTGAAGGAGTCTGACTCACAGTCATGATCCCAGTACAAGTGACAAGGCACAAAAAACACCGTACAATTGCTGTGTGCAAAACCTTCAAAGCATAAAACGTAACAATATACAGGTTGGATATAGCTTATCCAAAATGCTTGGAACCAGAAATGTCTGGGATTAGGGATTTTTGGGGTATGGTTGGATATTTGTGTCTACATAATAAGCTGTGCTGGGGTGGCACTAAGTCTAAACATGAAACCCATACATGTCGCTTGTCCCCTGCACACCTCACATGCATGGCCTTGGGTCACTTAATCTAATTTCTCAGTGCGGCTGCATTTGGACTGTGGCTACCAATGAGGACAGAGGTAGAAGCTTCCTCCTATGGTGTCAAGACCTTGCTCAGCAAGTTTCAAATGCCAGGTGTTTGACTGTCTGTCCTTTAGCTGGCAATCTTAGTGAGGCTCCAGGGCCACTGCACACAGGAGCCAGGTCAGCACATGACAGGGACAGGCTTGGGCGGTCCCAGCTCTCATCTGAGTCCAGAGAAAACTCACTTGTGAAGGTGCCAGCAGTTTGCATTTCCTGTTAACACTGAAATGTGCACTTACCTAGTGTAAGTGACAGTGCAACACGTTTGTACTTTTGGGGTTTTTAAAAATATTTTAAAAGTTAGTTTTGAAAACAGGAAAGGAAATGGGTGGTGAACTGCTAGAGGAGTGGCAGAGACTGTGGTGGGCAAGGACTGGGGAGCGAGGCTCTGGAGGAGGAAAAGTGAAGTTAACAGCAGCAGGAGGTGGGGTGAGATGGGGGTGTTTATATTAGAAAACAGCTCTCCTCTCTTCTCCTCTCCATCCTCAAACCTTGGAGGCCATGAGGTGCTTCTGGAACCCATAGGCCCTAGCGCCCAGGGCTGGGCAGGATGGAGGGGACAGCTGGAGGGTGGTGGGGTGGAGGTGCCCAGACAGCCCCAGGTCCCGCACAGAACCCCAGAAGGACAGCCTCCTGTCGTAGCTAACTGCAATTCCAGTCTGGCACCTGAGGGCTAGGGCTTTGGCCTGGTCATTGCTGACCTTGTCTGATGGTTCTTGGTGCTTCCAGGAAGGAATTCGGGGCCTTGATTCTAGGAATCAGGTCCATTTCCATGAGGAGTTCACATGGCCTGGACACTGGCGGCTGAGTAGGAGTCTGTGGAGGTAAAGGGGAGAGGTCACCCAGTTGGAGGTCAGCCAGGCAGAAGCTGGGATGGTGCCCTCCTCTGTGCTTGGTTCATGTCTTCTGGGCTAGCGCTTCAGCTCACATTCGCTCTTCCTTTGTGGTTCCCTACCTAGGAAGGAGGCCACACCAAGCTTCCCGGACACACCAAGGGCCTGGACATACCAGAAGTTGGCCATGCCCATGCACCTGTGGCCCAGTCTGGGCGTGGTGACTCCATCTCCTGACTGCACCATGGAGACAGATCTAGACTTGCCCTGGATGCCCATGGCATCTGTCTCCTAGGTCTAGTCACACAGGACTGCCCAGACTGCTTCCCCAAGAAACCCCACAATGGCTGACACACCCTTCCTGCCCCCAACCTGGCACTATAGTTCTGTAGTTAAGAACTGTGCTCCTTGCACTTTAGCTGCTGGTTTAGGGACCCTAAGGCCACCAGGGAAAGAAGCCCTCTCTGGGTGACACTTTCCCCACAGCTGGATGCTCCCTGAATGATGCTGAGCAGCTGACGAATGATGACTGTCCCAGTCCCGAGCCATGGGAGGGAGCAGTGTTGTCCCAGGGAGCAGGTGACAAACACAAATTCCAGAACACAGGACTGAGCCATGGCCTAGGAGCTTGCTAGGGCTACTACTGAGTGCAGAAGGCAGGCTTCCTGGGGCAGCCACAAGGGGGCATCAGGGACCACAGAGTGGACTCCCTGCCATGTCCTAGAGGGCCTTCTCCCCACCGCCTCTCTTCCTTCCTACCCCCTGCTCTAAAGGGCATCACGTGCCCTATGTAGGGACAGCACGTAGCCAGTCAGGACTGAGACCCCGGGACTCTTGCTCTGGAGTTCCTCATTCCATACACCCAAGATGTCTTCACCTCCAAGAGGACCCAATCTGTTCCAAAACCATGGGGGGCAGTGGACATAGACATTCAAGGACATCCAGTGAGCTGTACATCTAAGGCCACCTACCCTCTCTTGTGGCTTGGAAGAGAGCACCTTCTTTCCACCCACGGTACCCTCTTCATCTTCCTGACTCCTCGTCCCCCTCTGCTGTCACATCAGGGACCCCCTCCCACCAACACCCACCCAACATCCTTGTGTCAGCGTCTGACTGCTGCTAATCCAAGTTCCTCAGCCCACAGAAACACCAAGGGGCAGGTGTGGCTATGTGGCTGGGACTTAGGTTGGTGCCTTCTGTCCCCTGCTGGTCCTTGGCAGTGTCCCCCGCTGCTGCACAGGAAGTGAATTAGGAGCTTTGGTTGGATGGAGCAAGGCTGGTGTGGGAAAGGACACAGTGTGATACAGAGAGGAGTCAGGGGAGGAGTTTGTGGCCCCACAGATCAATTTAAGGTCTGGGTCTGTGGGAGCCAGCTGGAAAAGTTGAAGGAGAGGCCCAGCACCCACACCATGCTGCATGCTCCTGGGTGGAGGGGACTGCCCTGGGCCATGCTGCTGCTCCTCTGGGGTGTCCAGCCCCAGCTGACTCACGCCTGGTGTTCTGAGGAGGACCTGAGCAGCTATCAAGTCAGTGATCTGGAGCTCTCTGCTGCAGTGCAGTTGGCCCTGAGCACATTCAACAAGCAGAGCCAGGATGAGCACGCCTACCGGCTGGTTCGCACCCTGAGTTCCCAGTGGGAGCCGGTAGGTGAAGTTCCTCCCTCTCCTGCCACCTGCACCTGGGGCTCAGACAGGGCTGGGGCCCCCATGGGTCCAGGTTCAGCATGAGTCTATGCCTGGGTGAAATATAAGCTAACTCAGTTACCATTTGTTTGTGAGGGGAAAAAAAATGAACAGAGCAATTCTTTTAAATTAGGTCAATGCTCACTCATGCAAGATAAATCTTTATGATTTTATGATGTTGATAACTGAAGAATGACTTCTAAATAGAAAGCAGTGAAGTGATTAAGCCACAGAATAAAGAAAAGAGAAAATAAACACAAGATATATTGAGAAGTAGTTCAAGAATATAAAATAAAAACAATTAGAAAAGAAAGAAAGACAGCATGCAGCTCGGTGACAGGAAGGACGTGTCACAGGTGACTCACCTCTCAGGCTGCCGGTGTCCAGCATTCAAGTGGACACCACCATACTGCCAGGCCCTGGATTTGTCCACTGGAGACATAGCCTCAGGCTTAGATGCCTGCTGAGAGGGGCCCATGCCAACCATGTCCAGATAGCAGAGACACAGGCTGAGAGAGAATTTACTAACAGGCAAGGAAAGGCGAGAGTTTGTTCAGCCGCATGGTCAAAGGGACAGCAGGTGAGTTCCCAGAACAGAAAATCCACCATCAGGGTGAGAGGCAGGGTCTTTTGAGGGAGGGACAGCATGGGAAGGGGCTGAGTAGACAAAGGTAGACTCTCAGACACACTTTTCCAGGGTGTGTTGTCCTGTGCTCATGTCCGGGACACTTGCATTGTGACTAAAGCTGTACACTAAGTCGCATATTGTTCAGGCCTCTGACTTAGGCCTCAAAAAGAGGCCTCCTTCAACTTAGATACCAGCATCTCTGTGTTCTCACCTTTGGGGAAAGATAGACATTAGCTCAGGGCGGTTCTGTATTTCCTTTTATCTTGTGCTGTTTTTAGCCCTCAATTCAGTCCTCTATGACTGTCCAGTCGCTGCTGGGCACAAGTATGTGGAAATTCAACCTTTTTGTCACCACAAGAGGGTGGCTGGGGACACTTTCACAGCCTGTAGCTCTGCTGCAATTTCCCAGGCCTCACCAGGCCACTGCCCTCTGTTCCTCGCCCCCGTCTGGAGAAGGCCTCCTGGCTGTCACCTCCAATGAGCTGATCCAGGCCCCCAGGGGAGCTCCCACCAGAAGAGAGTCCAGGTCTGTCCCTATCAGGTGCAACCACACAATCAGTCCACACAGCAGCACCACATGAGACCGCTTTTCTCCTTTCTGTCCAGAATGAAGACTCAGGAAGAGTACTCTCCATGAGGCTGCTGCTGCGCAGAACCGTATGTAGGAAATCTGAACAAGGCATTGACATCTGCCCTTTCCATGACAGCCCAGAGCCCAGCAATGTAAGGAGCTGCCCACACAGACCTCCCGGCCCTAGAGGCACAAGTCCATAGCAGGTCTCCAGGCTGCCCTGCCAAAGCCCGGCTCTGCCCACGCCACACTGCAGCATCTGTCTAGGACACACAGCCTGCAGGCACTTGTGGCACCAGACCCCGGGGTCTGCAGAGGACCAGAGAATGTCCTGTGTGGTCCTCATGTCACATGCCTGCCCTCAGGAGAGGAGCCTGGAGGGGTCTAGCCTGGCCTCTGCCTCAGTGTGCCCGTCTCAGGTCCCTGCCCTACCCCGGAGCCCATGGTGCAGACTGAGCAGCACCCCTTGACCTCCCCCATGCCTGGCCCTGACCCTGCTGAGCTGTACCAGCTGCTGTGGGCAAGGTGATGGACAGCTGGATGTGGGAACCACCCCACCTAGGCTGGCAGGCCTCTTTATCAGAGGGTCAACCCGTTGCTTAACAATGACCCAAGTCTGTGAGTAGCCAGCTCCCTCCAGATACAGTGCCCACTTCTGTCTGGGGCTGATCACAGGAGCATCCTGGGGTGCCCTGGAGACCCCTAGCTTGGTGGGGGAACTGACCCTGGCTCTCTGGGGACCTGAAGGAGCCCCAGGTCAGAATGCAGCTTGGGACTCACCCATTCAGGCAGGGTGGCCTGTGCTGAGGGCCTGAGCCCCCTCCTCCACTGGCCCAGGCAAGGAGGTGGAGGCAGACCCTGATCTCAGAGCACCCCACCCACTGTACCCCTTTATTGCTCCCCAGACCTTCACCTGCTCCTTCACCATCCACATCCAGCACCAGGCAACCCAGCTCAGCATCCTGAAGAAGAGGTGCTCCAAAGGGCCCCCCAGCCAGTGACCCAGCGTTTCAGGGACACCGGCCATTCACAGGAGCTGGATTGTGGTGGCTCAGCAGTTCCAGGCTGCTCCATCCTCCTGAGTTCTGTATGGCAGTGTTTTAGAAATTTCCTTTGTCCTGTTTATCCTGCAGAGTGGTCATTAAACACCAGCATTTGCATATGCTCCATAGGCCGTGGTCATGGGGGCAGAGGCCGGGCAGTGATGGGGTTGCCCTGCGGGTACCTAGTACCCTCAGAAGGTACAGTGCTCCTTCCTTCTAGGCCTTCTAGGGTGGCAGCAGATGGCACAACTGTGGTGCATCAGAGCCACAATCTCAGGCCCATAGTGATTGGCCACAATCTCAGGCCCCATAATGATGGCCCACAATGGGCAAAGGCAAAATGACCGTGACTTCCCAGGCATCCACAGTGCATAGGGAGAGGAACAGGCCCTGTCTTTCAAGCAACCACTGCTCTTGCTGCTGGTGTGCACCACTTTCCTATCCTCCCAGGTTGGTGGCCTTGCTCTTAGGAGTGGGCCTGATATCAGGAGCCCAGCATAGCCTAGCCTTGGTCTCCCTTCCCTGGCAGAAGGAGCCCAGGACACACAGGGAATATCTGAGGGGCATGGATAATCCAGAGACTGCATAGCCCTGGCCTGAATCCCCCAGACTGGTCAGCACACACTTTCTGCTAGGCAGACAGTAGGTGTTCTGGCCTGGGAGGTGGATGCCCTCTTTCTCAACTACCTCACAAATGCCACAGACCCTGTGGAGAAGTGTGAGTGCCTGTGCCCCAGTGCAACTTTCTGGTGCCAGCAGGAATTGGCTGGTTAGGCCTGGGCTGTAGTTGCCAATTTCTGGAATGAAGAGCCCCTCTTGGTTGCCCTGTACCCAACACCAGGAAACCGCTGGGCTTCTAGGTTCCTTCCAGCCCCCACACCCTTTGCAGTGGGTGTAGGCCTCACTCAGGCAGCACCAGTGGGGCCCATGAGCAGAACGTCACACCTTGCAGTGTGGGAAGGTCAAGGCCGAAGGCCACCCATTGTCACTGGGAGGGACAGGGTGACTGGCATCCTGCATCAGTCTCACAACTTCAGGCACCCAGTGATCAGGGCTTTCCTGGAAGGACAAACCCTAAGTACTGTGGCTGGGCTCCTGACAAAGGCTCCGCAGACTTACACTTGTCTTCCATGAACTCGTCTTCAGCCTCTCTCTCTGCTGCTCTGATAAATTCCAGAGAGACCAGAGTCTCCAGGATGTTAAAGCCCTGGTGAGATAGGCAGGGCCAGGGGTCTGCATTTGTGATCTCTCCCAGGAAGGGGATCGTGTCTGCCTTTGCACCTCCCTGAGAACATCCCAGGTTCTGATGTCCTCACAGGGCCAGCACAGACAGAACCACAGCAGGAGACACCTTGGCCAATCCGGGTTCTTTTATGCCACTTATTTGCCTCCAATTTGTTGCACAAGAATAAAAGGCAGATGGATGGATAAAAGGATGCAGATATAGGCATCCTACTATTTATTTCTACATAACACATTCCTGGAAGGGCTTCTGCACCTATGTGGGTCACGCCCTCTGTTTCACCACTGCCGGCTGGGCTGGGGAGGTTGTGGGCAGAGATCTCCAGCCTAGTGCAGTTCATTGGAATAAGCAGGGTCTGTGTTTGCTTCCAAGACACCAAGGCACAGGGGTGCCTGGAAGGGAGAGTGTGGTCCACAAACACCAACATTGTTATTTTCTGCTTTTTCCCAGGAACATTTTCCCCAAGCCCGTCTTGGAGATTCAGTCAAGGTCTCGATAGCCCGAGTCCTTGAGAGCATCACATTATTTATTGTACACCCTGTTCCCCTGGGCACCTGTGAGGTGAGGCTCCTCTCTGCATCCTGCTCCATCCAGCAGCTAAGATAAGACAAGCACAGCCCCGCTCATCCTCTCACCACCCTGCCCGGCAGTGAGGAGCCCCATTGTTCAGGATGAGAACTGCAACATCGCTCTGACCCTTGTTCCGGAGCATGACAATAGTTCATTCTATGTCATAAGAGAGAAAAATGGTCAAAACTGGCATTTTCCCAACCAGTTTGTCGCCTCCTGGACACTGAGTCTAGTAGGAAGATGGTACCTGTACCCTGGTGCCCACCTTTGACACCCTGGAGGGAAGTGACCTTCCAGGGGACCATGAGAACTGATGTGGGGAACAAAAGGACAACAGCAGAGGTGGCGGTGCCAATGGTGCCTCCTTGGCTTTTAGACCAAAAGACTTTGAAGCTATCCTTTGTCACTCAGGAACATCACTCCTTCTTACATTTCTTCAGCTTTATTGTGTGTTATTGTGTTAAAAATCCAGGTCTCTATCAAAAACAGTTGAAGCAAATAATTTCCTTGAGGAAAAAGTCAATAATTACTGTAAAAAATAAAGTGACTTGAGCAAGGGACTAGGGTGGAATGAGGCACGAGGGTGCAGAAGTCCATCCTGCCGCAGAAACACCAGACGCCAGGAAGGTGGCACCAGAGTCAGAGGGTAAAGACGAGTGGCCAAAGGTCAATGAAGGGAAACAGCTGAGGCCTCCAGGACGCTCGGTGGTATCTCAGTGTCCTGCCCTCACCCTGGGCTCACTGAGTCTGTGGCAGCAAACAGAATCCTGCACTGCTATGTGGCCACTGGGACCATTGGAGCACAGGGACCTCGTCCTCAGAGAAGGGTGGCTGTGTTCAGGCCCTGTGAGATCCCCAAATCTTGTGAAGGTATCACCCTTCCTCCTGATTTAGGACCAAGGCTGGGTTGGACAGCTGGCATTGGTCAGCAATGCCCAGAGGCCTGCAGCAATGCCCTGGTCCATCCGAGGTGTCAGGTGGAGCAGATACAGATATCCCAAACCACAGAGGAAGCCTGAGGAGAGGTACTGAGAGGGTGGAGCTTTGATAAAGCTCCTGCATGTGCCAGGCAGTGTGGGTGGCACGGTGTGACCAGGGCTGAACACACACTCATGAAAGAGCTCAGGGGACCCTAAACTGGCATTGCTGGTGGGGACAGCAGGGAGCAACAGCCAAGTCAGAGCTGTGACCATCCTGAGGGTGACTCAAAGGCTCTCACAACAAGGAATGTGAAAGCAGCTGGGCATGGTGGTGCATGCCTGTAATTCCAGCAATGGGGACGCTGAGGCAGGAGGATTGCCTTGAGTTCAAGCCCAGCCTGAACTACATAGCAAGACCTTGCCTCAAAAAAAAGGAAATGTCCTACACATGTGTACTAATAAAACAATTCTGAAATAAAACATGTTTGAAATTTAAAACAAATTACAAAAGACTTCATGTTTGCATGTATGCATATAATGTCACCTACAACAGGATTTAGATCTCTCCATTCAACTTTTATTTTTATGCAACACGTTCTCCCAAAATGGGATGTTAATGTCTTAGAAGTGGAACTGTCTTTCACACTCCGCTGTAGCTACAGTGCCTCCCTGGCTGTCCTGAGGGCACAGGGCCCCTCTGGGGGTGGCTGTGGAGTCTGCTGCCTGATGCCAAGTGCAGGGTCTGAGCCAACTTGGAGCTGGTCCACAGGCAGCTGCAGGCCTTAGGGGAGCTGGTCTCGCAGGGTGCATGTTCTTCCCAGCAACTCCCCAGTCAGGAGGCAGCTGACACCAGGGAGGGACTGGGCTCTGCCTCAGGCTGGGCACCCTGGGTCCCCATGCTGGTCCTTTCTCTGCAGCCTTCCCTTCCTGGGCGGCGTCCCCCTCTCACCCCAGGAGGTGAGTGAGCAGCTTTGGCAGAGACAGCGAGTTCTGGTGGGAAGGGACACAGAGTGATACAGAGAGCCAGGGAGGAGCTTGTGCCAGAGAAGAAGAGATTGTGAGCAGGACCTGAGCCCGCAGGTCTGGAAGAGTTTCTGGGAGAGGCAAGGACAGGTCCCCCTCTCACCCCAGGAGGTGAGTGAGCAGCTTTGGCAGAGAGAGCGAGTTCTGGTGGGAAGGGACACAGAGTGATACAGAGAGGCCAGGGAGGAGCTTGTGCCAGAGCAGAAGAGATTGTGAGCAGGACCTGAGCCCGCAGGTCTGGAAGAGTTTCTGGGAGAGGCAAGGACACCATGGCACGTCCCCCTGGGAAGAGGGCGCTAATTTGGGCTGCCCTGCTGCTCCTCTGGGGCAACCAGCTCCTGGGGACTGGAGACTGGTACCTCCAGCAGGATCAGGAGGATGACCAGAGAGAGGTGGGGCTGTACTTCCCCCCGACCATGGAGTTCGTCCAGCACACCTTCAACCAGGAGCACAAGGACGACGAGTACGCCTACCGGGTGGAGCGCATCCTGAACGTGCGCAGGGAGCAGGTGAGAGACCACTGTGCCATCCCCGTCCCCTGCACCGAGCTCAGCAAGGGACATGCCAGGTGCTCCTACCCCAGGGTCTCGCTCATCAACAGTCATCCATGCTCTGCTTCACGAAGCCAACCCTCTAGCTTCTATGGAATAGGTACATGTTTTAGAATGCCACATACTGTATGTAGTGTTCAGTCCGCATAATTTTTATGACGTTACTTGATTGAAAATGACCTGAAAATGAAGGATGTGAAGGATGTGAAGCCAGAGAGTGACAAGGAACCAACAGCATGTGTTCCCAGCGGCACAATGAGAAGGGCTTCAAAGTAATAATGTGACAGGGATGCTTAGAAAAGCAGCAAGCCTGGGAGGCACCATGGGCACTGAAGACAAAGACGAGGGGCCCTCTATCGGCCCCAACTGCCACTCAGGGCACAACCCATCTAACCTGTTCCCCTGCCCATGTAGTGCATTAACTGTGTCCTACGCTCCCTCTGCCCACCTTCTTAGCCCTGAAATGTCCAGGAATGGCTGTGGGTGAAGTGGGCATGGCAGCAGGGCATTTCTCTTGCTGTGGCTCAGGTGACTGCACTGACCTGTCTAGGTGCCATTCCAGCTCTCAGGGCTGAGATCTGTGCACATATGGACAGATGCCAGGTGTGTGCCACTGTCCCTGGGAATCTGGCTGTGGGCTCAGACCCTGCGCAGGGGAGGCTGGGGACTAGGCCAGGACCCAAGCTGGAGATGCATTCACAGCCTGTGGCTCTGCTACAACTTCCCAGGCCTCACTAGGCCAATGACTCTACTCTTCATCCCTATCTGGAGAAGGTCCTCTGGCTGTCACCTCCTGTGAGCTGATCCAGGACCCCTGGGGAGCGCCCACAGGAGTAGAGTCCAGGTCTGTCCCTACTGGAGCACAACTACAGTCAGTCCACGCAGCAGTGCCAAGTGAGTCTGCTTTTTCTCTTCCTGTCCCACCAGACTGAGGACATGGTATTCTTCATGACACTGCAGCTGCGCAGAACCAAGTGCAAGAAGTTCCAGGATGACCTCGACAACTGCCCCTTCCAGGAGAGCCTCAGACCCAGCAATGTAAGACAGGGTGCTGATTTCCTGTCCTCCCAGATGTGGGTGCTGGGGAGGAGGGGACAAGCCTGCAACTGAGGACCTGCCAGATGGACACCAGGTTAAATCCAGGACCTCCACATCCTCCACTTGGACTCTGCCCATGCCGCACTGTAGCCTCTGTCTAGGACACACAGCTTGCAGACACTTGTGGTTCTGGGCCCTAGGGTCTAGGGAGGAGCAGAGAATGTCGTGTGTGATCCTCATGCCCATATGTCCTGCCCTCAGGAGAGGAACCTGGCAGGGTCTTGCCTGACCTCAACCTCAGTGTGCCCATTTCAGGTCCAGAACAGACTGAGGCTTCTCCTGGGGGTAATGCAGGCAGCACCCTGGGGCAGGGTGTTAGAGTTAGGACTAGGAGATGGAGGTGCACACAGTGCTCCTGTGAACTGTGAGCACCCACTGTCCCCTCCCAGATCATTACCTGTGCCTTCAGTGTGAGCACCCTGCCGTGGACCACAGAGTTCCACCTCTTGAAGAAGAACTGTTCTGAGGGTCCCTCTTGATCCCTCCAAGCCCAGCCTCACTGCTCACTTCCGGGGACACCAGCACTTCCCATATGGCTCTTCCGGACCCAGTTGCTCCAAGGTTTCTGTTTCCCTCAACTTCCAAAAGTTAAGTCTCCTGTCCTGGAGTTTAAAATTCCTCCTTGCCCACCATCATCACAGAGAGCTCATTAAAGTTTGCCCACTGAGACTGTCTGTGCGTGCTTGTGAGGGCTCAGAGAGGTGGGCCCCTCTCGGGCACTCTGCAGAGGGGTTCTTCCCGCCTTGGCTCCTCAGCCATCTCTGGGGACACAGCCAAAGTGCCCCATGAGCACCTGTCACTCCAGGGCCCTATAGATGGCCCCATGGCAGAGGCATAGTGACAGTGACCTTCTGAGCACCTGCTGTGCAAGGTGAGTCCAGAGAGGGCTGCAGACCCCACAATGCAGGTAGGGACTCCATTATCCCTGAGGGACCCACTGCCCTGATTGCCAGGACTCCTGACACTGATCCCATCTCCCAGACCCACGCTCCCTGTGGATTTTCTGTGCAGATTTAAAGATCAAGGTTTAGTGTCTGCCTCACCTCACTAACTCTGACCTGTGCTGAACATGGTTGCAGGCATTGTACATCAGAAAGACTGGATGTGTCCTGGGTATACCATGACACAGACACCAATGGCTGGTCTGGCCCTTGGGCCATGACTGCAGCCCTGACAGGACAGTCTGAACGTTAATTTCACCCCATGCCATGGCTCAAGGGCAGCTACCACCAGCCACAGTCAGGGCTTTCTCCAAGTATGTGGATTCTATGTACCCCGCAGGGGACATTCCATCACTTAGAGGACAGAGGAACACTGTGGTCTCCCTACCCCAGCGTGACCGATTTGGAAATGGGTCCTGGGTGACTTATTCCTGGTACCAGCAGGATGGACCTGCTTGGCCAACCACACACCTCCATGCAGAACAGGAAAAATGGGAGGGCTGGCATGACTCCCATCTCAGACGAACAGGCCTGTACACACACTCATGTGCACACAGCTGGCCTGTACACAAGGTTACACACATGTGTTGGAGTGTATACACATGCTGAGGTACATGCAGCAGGCCTGTAAATACATATTCACACACATGCAGCCAACATGCACACACATGCACACACGCAGGCTGCTTTCTAAGCACCTTACCCTGGAGCTTTTTCTACCTTAATTCAGGATAAACCCAAACCTCTGAAAGGCCCCTCTGTATCTCTGATCAGATGTGAGGTTTGGAGCCACTGCTTCTGGGTTGGGAGTGCAGCTTAGGGGATTGCAATGCCCTTGCATGTACAAGGTCCTAACTCCCATACCCAGAACTGGAAAACCCCACTAGGAGTCATGGGTTATGCCTTCCCCGTAGTCCTGAAAGGTGATGTCTGTGGAAATCTGGGCTGGACATGTGGACTGAAAAACAAAAAAACTAGACCCTACAGAAAGATCTCACTGTACCCCACAGGGCAGTGTTCACGTGGGCACAGGCTGCCCTGCCAGGAGATGGCATCACTCGCCAGAAATGCTCACCCTCTCTATCAGGCCTCAGAGCACTCAGAGATGCACAGAGCCAGAGAGTGGAGTGAGAGGGATGAGCACGGTGCTGGTATCTTGAAGGCTCTTTACTTCTCCACAGTGGAAGTACATGTGCAGAGCACACCAGGAGACCATTAGGCATCTCTGCACAGCTTCTTCAGCATGGATAGCTCAAATTTCCATGGCTTGGATCTAACAACAAAGATGCAAAAAACCTCCTAAAACAGACAAAACAAAGAATTAGCTTGTCTGAAAAAAAAAAATGAATAGAGAAAGAGTAAAACCTGAAGTCATTTGAACAGAGAAAGAGCAAAACCAGACCTGGTTGAGAAGAAGACACTGCCTGACTCAGCTGTGCCCTCTGCACTTCACAACCCAGGCGTCAGGAGAGGCACTAGCCCTACTCACTTCTTACAGCCAAATGTGGGCCCTGAGCCACCATGCCTGCCCTTCCGCTCTAGGAGAGCAAGGTCTGAGCCCAGGGACCTTTGGTTGTACCCACTTCCCTGAGGCCCTGTGCTGCACCAGGAGACCCATGAGTCCCGCCCAGGGCATGGGCTGAGCAAGGATAGTTCAAGGTCCCACAGGCCTTGGGGGGAGGTGGCAAACCTGGTTGCTTTAAGCCTGTGTGTGGGGGCATGTGGGTTCATGCGTGTTTGTGTACATGTGTGTTTGTGTGTGTGTGTGTGTGTGTGTGTGTGTGTGTGTTGGTGGAGTGGGGGAGATGGGTGCCCACAGTGGATAATAGAAACAGTGCTCTAAATCTTGACCCTGGCTGTCAACAGGCTGGATGCAACCACAACACGGGTGGAGAGGAAATAAGTGACTAAAGCAAGTTTGACCTCAGACCTACCCCTGGCAGCCTCCCTCCCTGCCTCAGGACCTCACCTTTTGCATTGTGGGATTTTTTTGAAATAAGCAGTGTTCATTTTCTCCCGCAGCTTTCTTGCACATTGTTCGGGCAATTTTGGCTTCAAAATAGTACTCCAAACTGTCTGTGACCTGCCAGTGAAGAATTAGAAGATAAAATATCATAAAGGACATCTCAACTGAGTAAATGACCATTCAGTCCTGGGGACAGGCCCATCTCCCTGCCCCCGCTCTCCTTTATGTTTCCTCAACAGACATTTTTGAATCACTGGGGATTCCTACCTTGACATCTATTCCTATCTCTTCTCCCTTATGATATTCAATTTAATGTGATGGCAACTGTCCCCAGGATAAAGCAAGGAAACTACTCCACAGAGAACGCTGCCTGGGAAAGCAAGGAGCTTGAGAAATAATGAAGTGGGGAGCATCAGCACAGCTGACCAGCAGATATTGAGGGTATCGGGGTATTCCAGAACCCCAGAACCAAGCCCTCCAGCATGGCCTGACCCTCTCCAAAGCCTCCCATTGTTGCCATCCTCATTCTGTGTGACTCAGACTCCGCAGGTCTGCTCTCCCACACAGCTCAGTCAGCCTCCTATCCAAGGAGGAGGCCCTGAGGACACAGTGGCACCAGAGGGAATGAGACGTTATGGTTAGGATAAGAACAATGAGAAAACAAGACTTGCAAGGCATGTGGAAGAAGACATATCAAAGAGAGAATGACCAAGTTAAACAAGCAACTGGCCCCTGAAAAACCAGAGATAAATGAGGAAATGTAATAAACATTTTTAGAAATGCTAAAAGGGTTTCCTGGGCGCTGAAGAAAATGAGTGTTGCAAGCAGAATTCTCAGGTGCTCCTGAAGGTCGCCGTCCCTCTGTGCCTGCCTAGTAGATAACCAGGGCTGAGACTGCATAGATTAGGCTTGTTTTTAAGAGGCTGGGAGATGATCTTGGTGGGCCTGACACCTCATCACCTAAGACCTTGAATCTGGACAGGGGTACAGATTGTGTGCCCTTTGATCCAGCCTTTCAACTTATAGGCTTTCATACTTGTGCAAATATGTGCATAGTGTCAGCATTCAGAACACACAGAATCTCAAAGCAGCCTGAGACTCAACAATACAAACACCAAGACATTTCAGTGTATTCATATGAAGTGCTATGCAGGAGTAGAATGAACATCTCACTGTTCCACACTCAAGTAGGATCAGGCTGGATTTTTCTTTCTATGCCCAGCTTCATTAAGCATGAGGAGCAAGGTTGGAAGAGTTGTAAGTTAAATGATAAAAACTAGACTTGTAGAATGAACAAGTCTAAGGGCCAAATGTACAACATGAGGACTAGAACTAATAATACTATATCAAATTTGGGATATTTGCTAAAGGAGTAGATTTTAGGTGTCCTAGCAAGACACATGTAAAAGGGATAACTTGTCATGGATGTGCTTATTTACTTTAGAATAGCAATCACTTCACCATATTTATTTAAAACCATAACAGTATACACCTTAAGTACACACGATAACATCTTTTTAAAATAAACACTTGTTGGGGGAGGTGCCACAGTATTGCTGTATGCAACCAAAAGTGTGAAGTTCACAAACATAATGTGGAAAGGTACAACCAAACCAAAATAACACATGAGTAGAAGTCTTTCCAGGTCCAAGAGCAAAGGAAGCTGTGGTGCTGACAGGCGTGGACCTGGGCAATGCCCACAGTGAGGTCACTGCCCTGTTCACTTCTGCGACCCTCCTTCCTCCAGGTCTTACCTGATTGACCTAGCTTCTGTTTCCAGTAGGCTCACAGTTAGGATGAAAATTTCCTGTCACCCAGTGATAACCCAGACTGGCAAGGTCTTTATACTGGTGGTGTGGTGCCAGTGTACACAAGCCCAGCTCAGACAGCCGCCCGCAGTGCATGGCACTTGATGATGGTCATAAAGGACACCTACTTATGAAAACATTCCCTGGGAAGCAGGGTGCCAGAAGCCGGGATGACTGACCTCTGCCACCAGGTCAGGTAAGTAAGTATCTGTCAGGCCTTTCCCAGCACATGTCCTGTCATTAACTAGCAGGGGATGGCAATGAGCCAGGAGATTCTGGTCTCACTGATGATCTGGTGGCCTCAGATAAAACCATGTCTTTCACGCCACTGGGCTGGCTCTTTGTCAAGCCTTTCTGGCTACCTGGCTCCCACTGCAGTGGCAGCTGGATGAGTGTCCCTATTGTTCAGCATCATCACCCACACCAAGGTGCACAGCTGGCACCTCATGTGACCACTTCAAGCTGCCTCCTGGACCCTGACCTCCACATCTTAATGTGCTTAATATGACCGTACCAGTTTGAAGTTATTTTAATGGATATTTTGTTTCATCTCTGCCTGAGAATAATAATGAATAAAATATAATTAGTTTTCTTCCCAAACCCTGTAAAATTCTTTCATGGCGTACCAGACCGCCTGCTGCACGTAGACGTAGGATGGGGAGATATCCTGGAATGACCGCACCACCTTTGGGGAACCCCAGGCTTGCACCCTGCTCAACTCAAAGGCCACAGTGACTATGAGGAGCAGCAGGGCCCGGCAGAGTTTGGCCATGGGTCCTCAGCTGTGAGCACAGGCCACACACTCTGTGCTTCCAGGGTGGGGGCCCTGTTGCCTCTGGAGTGGTGGATACCCCTCACTCAGCTCTTGTAGGCAGTGCTGTGGGTTCAGAGGAAGACACCTTGGTTAGTGGAGCCAGGGGTTGGGATACGATAGTATATAT